AGGGATAAAGAGAACACAAATCAACATCATTGAAGTCTGACTCTAGACCTGCGGGGGAAAAACAAAACAAAAACAAGACAAAACCGAGAAACCACAACAACAAACAACATATATATATATATATAATGATACTTATAACATATTAGAAAGTATTTTATACAGTACATGGTAATACAAGATATATTTAGTGGCCACAACAACCCAACTGCGTGTGTATCTGATAAACATCTGAATCTAAACACCTGTGTGAGCATGCTTATCACTATAAGGTTTCTCCATAAAAATGTTCAATAGTGGATGTAGGAACCCACACACCCGTCCCCACAGGACACGATGGAAGGGAAGACCGGAACGACAGACACAGAGCGGTCCCCAAGCCCAGAACTCCGGGAGTCACCCAACAGGGACACCCGCACCACCCAGAGAGAGAAGCAAAGGGAAGCCCTGGGCGATCCCCAGCCACCACAATGCAGACACCTCAGGAGGCTGCAGTGACGAGTCCACAGGCCCCGCCAGCAACCCGCCCCTCCAGAGTGGATCCGGCCATGGACACCGAGCCCAGAGTCCCGAGGTCATACCACCCCCCAAGAGAGGCCCGACAGAGCCAGGGCACCCAGGCCCCGGCAGTCAGCCACCAGGGCAGGACCGCACACACCCCACCACCTAGCCCCAGCTGCTGAGAGCCGCCAATGCACCGGCGGCAGGGGGCCCACCACCGGAGGTGAGCACGACACACCAAATGGGGGACCAAAACTGATCCAAGAGAGGGGACCACCTAAAACCCAACCTGAGACATAAACAGGCACACAGAGACAGCTCGACAGAGCCTCTGTCGGGCCGTCCATGCACCCCACCCACCCGAAAGCGACTGCAAGCCGGCCCCAGGCCGGGGGCCAAAGCAGCAGGGAGCAGCAGCTGAGGAAGGCTGGCCCAGCTAACCCTACCCCCCCCCCCCCCCGAATGTCACATCAGGCCGACCAGCCAGCACCTCGTCAAAGTGAAGCCACGCCCCCGACCGCTGCCAGGCACCACCAACAACCACACACGCACAACCACAGGCAACCCCCCGCCAGAACCCGGCAGCCACCCCAGTCAAAGGGCCGGCCACTGCAACCAGGAACCCTGATCAAAAGATCCAAACAACCCAGGGAGAACTGGAGCACCGGCCCCACCCCCAATCGCCCCCCAAGGCCCAACACCCAACCATAGCCCAGACCCCAACCAGGCAGCCTACCCCCCCCGGCCCCCAAATGTCAAACAGAGAACAAGGGTTTAAGGAAAACAAGAAGACCCAACTCCTCCCTCCTCCCACTCAAATAAGATGTTGATGCATGGTGTTATATAGTGCGTTTAAAATGGAGGGGGGGGGGGTGAGGCGTCGACTGGCACAGACCCACCCCCTCCCCAGAGAGCAGGCAGTGCCCGTTCATCTCCTCAACCCTTGCCCAGAACCCTAAATGTCTACATGCTACATATGGGAGTGGGCTCAGATCCCGGAGGTGAGAAAGATTACACATCCCACCCCCTATATTCCACCGTGTGCCCACTCCAGACCCTATATATGCATGTGTCATGATAATGTTATATGTGAGTGTCTAGGTTGTTTAATAAAATTGGGGCCCAGGTTTCCACAAACCATGGAGATGGAGGATCCTCCACGCAGCTCAGTCGTGCACCTGAACCCCAAGGCCCTGGTTGATTGGTGGTGTGATGGAGTGGGCGGAGGAAGATGTCGGGATGGGGAGGAACAACTGAGGTGGCAATGCCCTCCCAGGGGGCAGCTCCCCCACTCACCCCAATAGGCAGCCCCATTCTCTGAGATCCACAAGGGGAGGGAGGCTCCAGTACATCCACCCAGGAGCAGGAGGCAGCCGCACCACCAGGGACCCAGGCCATGGACTGGCACATAGCCCCGAGGACATTCACCATTCTGCAGCCATGGTGGAAATGTTAGAAACTACAACACATGTAGTAGCAGCTTTTGAGCAGCAGGCGTCACTAAACACCAAACAACATTCAGAACCTCCTCAAGGTCCACTTGGTCCAATAGTTCTCCCAGAGTGAACTTAGAGGTGTGTTTCTGTTTGCTGGTAAAGTGGACACATCGTGGGTCAAAGCTGTAATAAACACCTCACAACAGCTGGACGAGAGGACACAACCAAACCTTCGTGTCCATCAGCTCTGTGTCCTGCTCATCCTCACAATCCCTCATCTGGCCTCCTCCGGTGCAGATACCTGCTCTGCTCTTTAATTATAAACAAACTGACAAAAATCAATATTGGTTTTTGTTGCTCTCTTCCCCCCCCCCCCCCCCCCACACACACACACACACACACACAGTGAGTTCATGAAATAAGCCAATCAATATGTGGCCGTGATGGGAGGTTAAATAGATCAATAAGAGGATTGAACTCCAGCTGCAGGAATACCATCAAACCAAACCCATTTCCCTTCCAGTCGTGTGTGTGTGTGTGTGTTGGGGGGGGGGGGGGGGGGATCTTTAATCCCCTCTGAGCTTTAACAGCAGCTCATGTTTATTAAACCCTTGCACCACTAATATTAAGAACACTTTTATTATTATATTATTTGTGTTGTCTTGGACCAGAACGCCCCGAGCATGAAACCATCAGATCTCAGTGTGTGTCTGCTCTTAAAGGAACAGTCTGGTCATTTTTAAACCAAGGTCTGTCTCCACTGTTGTTGTTGTTAACATCCTGCTGTTACATTATCACTTTGAACAAATGTTTGATTTTCAGTTTTTAAAATGTTTACTAGTCAATGTTAAATTAATCTTTATCAATGATGTTAAATTATTAGTGGTAATAATAATATTTGTATTACTGGTGCTGTTCATTTCACAGTTTTATCTAAAACATCACAGTGAACACTTGATGTCCATGATCTCCTCTTCCACCATTTATCTGTCATCAGGCCACAGAGGCAACTGGTCCAGGAGAGGAACCCAGACCTCCTGCTCCCTCAGTCTCCAGCTCCTCCTGAGGGACTCAGAGGTGTTCTCAGGCCAGAGAAGATGAACAAAACCTCCAACAAACTTTGGGTCTGCCCTGGGGCCTCCTCCCAGTGGGACAAGCCCAGAGCACCTCTAAAGGGAGGCGTCCAGATCAGATGAACCTCCTCAGCTGATTCCTTTTGATGCGGAGCAGCAGCTCTACTCTGAGCTCGCCCTGGTTAACGGTGCTCCTCATCTTATCTCTAAGGCTGAGCCCCCCCCATCCCCCCACCCTACGACAGAAGCTCATTTAAAGATGTTTGGAACCAGGAGGTTAAAGCTTGGACACAGATGAGTCTTCAGATGGACAATGACCCTGAGCTCAGTGTCAGATTAATTACAAAGTGGATGATGTGGAGCAGTCATCAGACCCACCTCCTGCTGGACCCGTGGGTGAACGAAGAGACTGAATCAGTTCTGTCTGAAAGAACAGGACTAACTCCAGCCAACTGCTGTGAGAAGAAAAGGCAACGTGTTTGACCAAAGTTGTACAGTTTGAAGGCAAACACCAACAAATACCAAGAAAATGATCTAAAAATGATCTTTCATTTTTCAGACATTCATAAATCATTTGCACAAATCCTCATGCTCATCATCAATGATTTGGAGATTCTTAAAACAGGAAAGTTTCCGTCTGATTCAAGGTCAGACTGGTAGAGATGGTTATATGTGTATGTAAACATCTGGCGTCATATTTATTTATTTATTTGTGTATTCATTCATTCATTTATTCATTTCATAAAATTCTCAATACATGTGATCATTGTCAGGATGTATAGCATTTATTCATTTATTTATGTATTATTTGTTTATTTACTTATTATTTATTAATTCATTCATATATTAGTTTAATATTTATTTATTATTTATTCATTCATTCATATATTTGTTTAATATTTATGTATTTGTTTATTTATTATTTATTCATTCATTCATTTATTTATATATTGATTACTTATTTATTAATTTGCTCATTTGTTTGTTTGAGCTTTCATTTATTATTTATAAAATTCTTAGTCTATGTGATCATTATCAGTCTGTGTAACATTTATTTATTTATCATTTTTATTAATTTATTAGTTTATTATTATTTATTTAATATTTATTTATGAATTTAGTCATTCATTCATTTATTCATATATCAATTTATTTATTTATGTATTGATTATTCATTTATTCATTTGTTTGTTTGATCTTTCACTCTTTCATTTATAAAATTCTCAGTCTATGTGATCATTGTCAGTCTGTGTAACATTTATTTATTTATCATTATTTATTTATTTATTCATTTCTTTTTTAAATGTATTTATGCATTAATTCATTCGTTCATTCATTTATTTATATATTTACTGATTCATTTGTTTTGATCTCTCATTCATTCATTTATAAAATTCTCGGTACGTGATCATTGTCTGTTGTTGGAACTTTAATGGATTCATTGATTTAAGATTTAATCCTGATTTAACGGGATTATTCAGATAAATCCATCATTTGGTTGAGCTGAAGGGTTGTGTGTGTGTGTGTGTGTGTGTGTGTGTCCTGTGAGGGGTCTGTCCTCTGTCCATCACGGATCAGAACCGGTCGGTTCCTCTGCAGACTGTTGTCTCTGGGACGTTTAGAGGGAGGGAGCTGTCCCCTTTAAGCACGTGCCCGTGGTGCTCGTGCTCGGGGCTTTGTGCACGACTTCTCCCTGTCAGAGAGCAGCTGTGGATGCAAGGCAGGCAGGGAGAACTCTGCTGCAGGTCCAGGTCCAGGTCCAGGTCTGGTTTTTAACTGCTGGATTCTTGTCCGGACGCGTCCTCCTCCACCTGGAAGTTACCTGCAGGACTTTGTCCTGCTCAGGACACATGGACACGTGTCTAACAACATCCCTCACACTTTCTGCTTCTTTGTCGGACTAGCAGCTCGTCTCCGGATGCTCTGAGGGACAACCCCCCCCCCCCCGGTCTTTATGGAGGATGTTCCCCGGAACCGGGGAAGGACCCGGATGATGTGGAGGACCTACCTGGGGGTCCTGCTGGTGGTCCATGTGGCTTCAGCGTCCGTGTCCAAGTCCTGCGACAGGAACTGCGTTTCAGGGAAGTGCGTGAACGGGACGTGCGCGTGCGACCACGGCTGGGTCGGGGATCAGTGCCAGCACTGCCAGGGACGGTTCAGGTGAGTCACATGGGACATCAGGACATGTGTCCTCTGAGAACAGGACCCTGAGGTCCAACAGGGACAACTGATCCATGACAGAACAGTGAGAGGTTCTGGTTCTACTCATGAGACAACAAGAACAAGAAACTGTTCTGAGCTCTGAGGGTCTGAAGAGTCCTGAAACTTCTGGAGTTAAAATCTTAAATTCAGGCATCGAAACATCTGAAGCATGAGCTGATTTAAAACTTTAAAAACATTTAGTTTATCACTTTGATTCTTCTCTTTAGCTGTCAACATGTACTGGTTCTGTTGGTCTGGTTCTGCTGAACTGATTCTGTTGATCTGGTTCTGTTGATCTGGTTCTGTTGATCTGGTTCTGCTGATCTGGTTCTGTTGATCTGGTTCTGCTGATCTGGTTCTGTTGGTCTGGTTCTGCTGAACTGGTTCTGTTGGTCTG